ACACACACACACACAAATCTAAAGAAAAGAAAAGAAAAAGGAAAAAAGATAATCACATTGGATGAAATTAATATCTATAGAATCAAACCTAAAACCAAATGAGAAATAAAGGGAGTTACATCAAATGCTTGATTAAAAATTCGCAAAAAGAAGGGAACTGAGATGATCACATAGCAAAATCGGCAAATAACCCCACGTCACAAAATGTAAAAGGAAATAACTGGTCAAATGAACAAGTTTCATCTTTAAGAATGTACTTTAGCTACCAATTCAATGATTGAAGTTAACGACGACCAAATGTAACTATACAAATCAAAGTGTGGCTTTATAGGAAACGATTTTACGCATACATACAGATGAATGAAGTGGAGCCGGAAGAGGCAAAAGAACCTAGAAGTGGGAAAATTTTGAGAGTTGAGAAATGAGATTGAAAGAATTCCAGCTTCAAAGAGTTTAAGTTCTACGCATTGACATTTAAAAAATATTTACATAATCAGGTCGGTTATTAGGTAATTACAAGTAAATATCTTAATATATATTAATTGGTAATCCAATAAAAATGATAAGTAACCTGCTATCACACATTAACATTCACTAATGGTATCTTTACACGATCAGTGTATATAACTTAAATCCAAAAGCAAAACAAAATGTGAAATTTAACCACATTGAATGAATTAATATCTAACGAACTAAGCCCTAAAATCAAACCACAAATACTTGTACTGATACTAAAATTCATCTGCAAAAGTAAATTCCATAAACATTTGGTAAAATGAAGGAAAGCGAGATGATCACATGCACAGCAAAATCGGCCAATAAAGATTTAAATGGAAATGCAATGAACAATTTTCTTGTTCAACAAGAAAATATTTTAGCTGCCAAATCAGGATCAACGGCAATAAATTACCAGAACCAAATACAACTATATATACAATAGAAGTGAGATTATATAATGCGGAAACGAATTTAGACATACAATGAAGTAAAGTGAGAAACTAAAGGTGAAGGAACCTGGCAATGAGTGAATTTCGAGAGTTTGGATTTCAAATGAGAGAAACTGTAAAAATAAAGAGGCGCGAAATGGCCTTCCCAAGTGTACTTGACATATAGTTGATGAATGAAAGAAGGCAACAACAACCTGACCCAACTGTACTTTTCTTTTTCGTTTTCTTTCGCATGTTATATTTTATTTATTTTTAAACAGTCTTAAAATATTACACGGACTTTTACTCATTTTTTCTATTATATGGAATTACTATAAGAAATCAAATTTAAATGATGTTTGTCTTTTATTAAATTAATTTTTCAGTCATTTATGGAATTGAAAATACAATTTAAAGGCAATTTTACAAGTTTTTAAATATAGGCTTATTTATTGATTTATATTAATTCTTAACCCGGTAATTTTATAAATGATGAGTGTTTTTTTCTATAACCTCTGAAATGTAAGTTCAGATTTAGGTAGGAGCTAGCACCATCACAAATTGACAAATCACAATTTAACAAAACTTTATCTACACTTCGTGCCTACATGGGAGTAATTTCCCTTAATTCATGATTAAACCAAAATAAATTAATATAATTTGGTACAGTGATAGAATGTGGAAGTAGTTTTTCCAAACCAGCATAATGTGAGAGGTAACCATTGTATTTATGTGAAACTTATAAATTACTACCATAATAAAGTACTTTAGGAAATTCAAATACTAGTAATGAGTTAGTCAACTTGTATTGAAAAAAGTCCAATATAATGCGCCTTAACAATGAAAATTAAGAAAGTCTTTTCTTTTTCTTTTTGACGTTTCTTTTTAATTTAATTATTTGCTTCTAGCTTTTGTTGCTGGAAACTACAATAATAATCTCAATTACCAAAAGATTAAATTTGTAAATATTGTTGCTATTGTTGTAAAATATAGGGGAGAGACAGATCCTCCTAAGTGTAGAGTTTTGATTAATTGAATTGGATCTCACAAGGATGGTGAAGGGAAAGCATAAAACAGTACCATGGAATATTTCCAGCTAAGATTGCAGTGAAACAAGTTTTTTGTGTAAGCAAATGCAAAGCTAGGTCTTAGTTATATAGTAACACTTATTTTATTTAAACGTAGTAAATTATTTGACACCCTTTCACCAATAAATCACTTTATAAAACTTTAACAATTACCAAAAGTTCAAATTGAATTTTATAACTCTTCATAGTACATTCAACTTCTTCTTTCAATTACAATTGAGATTTTTTTCTATCCTATTATTTCAAGAAAACTTAGATAAGTGTGTTCCAAATGCCCTATCCAAGTCAAGAAATTATGCTGAAGGTCCTTACAAATCATAATTCAAACGAGATTCGATATTTTTCAACTACAAAATATTCAGTTTTCATTTTGGTTGTAGATATAACTAACCTGTTATTAAAGATATATAGTAGACAAAAATAATAGAACAATACAATACATCCAATAAATAATCTCAGACCAATAAGTTACGTCTAAAATTCGAACAGAATCGAGTTCAACTCGAAAGATATCGAACAATAGTAAATACAAAGTAATGTTTTCTTTATCAAAGTAACTTCTAAACTTATACATAAATGTTTGACTTAGGCTTAGCCACTACAAACGTCATCTATATAATTACTTTATATTTTTGATAGCTTTTTGCCATTCTATCTAAGGAGAGTACAGGAATTTGCTTTGCGTTAAGCTTTCCTATGATTAGGCAAAATTTTGTTGTAGGACACAAATTTTTCTGTTTTACGCGGTTAAAAATTTAAACTCGAATCATTTGAATTTTAGAAAAGATACTGGTAGATTTCTCTACTAAATTCTGCTGTCACCTCCCAAAAAACCTCCAATTATTTGGAGTTAGCCAGTAAATTCTGCTCTTTATATATATGTAAGTTTTTCACATACCACATGCACATATTCGGAGGACGTATTGAGTTTTGTTGAATCGGCTGTGTCTATATATTTGACTCAAACACTGTATTTATCTTTAAAAGATCATTTCATATATACAAATTATAAATTTAGAACCCAATAACTTTAAGTAGCTAGAATCTAGAATCATAAACTTCGAATCATGAATACATTATGAGTATAAATCAGCTACTATATGCATATTATGATTCAGGACATCCTCAAAGTCAAGTTTGGAATGAACCTGGTCTCATTAATTAGACTGAATCGTTTTGCCATTAGTAAAGAAAAATGAAATGACAATGGCAAATCCTATTTTAGCACATGAGATAAGATTAGTTGGAGTGTTAACCGCGCTATATTTAGGTTTCTAATTAGCCTCAATATACTGCTAATAGTTTCAAGTCTCCAAAAGTGTCAGACTTGATTTTATGATATTTTTACCCACCAAATTCTTTTGCCTTAGAACTTTTATATATCCCATGACTACTATACAAATCAAAATACATACAAGTATTTCATTTAAATTTGTAGTATACATGTTTAGTTTAACATATACTGCTGATCAATGGACTCAAAAATTCATTGCAGATTTTCTTCTGCTAAGGTAACGAGCGTGCCTTGACGAACTCTTGTTATTATCATTACCTGATCCATCATTAAGTCCAGTTGCAAATGCTACATTTGGATCTTTTTCTTCCTTGAGTTGATAATTTAGCAGTGTATCAAGACCATCATCTATTTTTGAGTTGGGGGTGTTGTTTTGACTGCTTGCTAGCTCTGTGTAATTTAAGCTCAGCTCAGTCACTTCTGACAATGATTTCGTTAGCAGAGGCCTCTGGCGTTTCAAGAACAAGCATACGACAGCACAATCATCGATCTTGGCACAAGGGTACTTGTATTTCCAGGCTCGAACCGCATGATGCACCACCAATCTTGCTGCAATAGATCGCTTCCTTGCTGTTGCTACTATACGTATCACTTCATCGTTGCTTAAAACATCCCACAACTATACACACACAAAAAAAGATGTGTATTAGCTGCCTTATTTGGTCTAAGAGCTGCTTAATGTCCTACATATATAGTGACTGACCCCTTGCTTTCCACTTGGACTATGTATATCATTGTATATGTGCATTCAGTGGCAGAGCCACCCTTTTCCGGATAATTACACTGCGTATATATGTCAGTTTTATTTTATTTTATATGTATATACTACTATATATTGAATCCTCTTAGCTTCTTCATATGTTTACTTCTTTATATTTTGACTCCCTTTAGTGAAATTCATGATTCGGCCACTATGTGCATACACATACATATTAGACAGCGATCACTCTGGACCTAGTGACTCTAAAGTCATGGATCCGCCTCTAGTCCTATAGCATTTGCCAAAATGTGTTATGGGGAGCTTCCTCATGAGATGTTG